CCATATCACTTAAAAATCATTATATGACGCTGATGAGTTCTCAAGGGCGCCCGGGAAAACAAAAACAAAACAAAAGAAGCAAAAAAAAGCAACAACAACAACCAAAAAAAAAAAAAAACCCACAAAGGACAATTGAAGATGGAAACAAGCTGAGGGGGGAGTGGGGGGGGCTTTGAATAGAAGTTTACCCAATTCTCTTTTGTACTTTTTACAATCCAGTGGCCAACAACCTTAAAGCCTCAACACGATTTCGAGCCATCGAAGAAATATTGAAGCACATGACTACATTTACCGAGCAAATCAGAAGACGCTGCCGCTTCCTTGTGATTTCTAATACAAATGTCCTTTTCTGAGTCAGTCTGCAACAGGTTTGCCATCTGACATCAATGCGAGTTGAAATTGGCGCGTACTGAGAGAAAATATGCGCTGACGAACGCTAATAGCGCATGGTAAATGTCCCAACACAGGCATGTTGTTTTATTGTGGAAATATTGTGAAAGTGGAGCCCCATCTCTGTGAGAAAACGCATTAGATAGCCACGACGTATAAAAGTAATAAAGATGAAAGATGAAAACATGCGAGAGAGAGACATTGTGTGTGTGTGTGTGTGTGTGTGTGTGTGTGTGTGTGTGTGTGTGTGTGTGTGTGTGTGTGTGTGTGTGTGTGTGTGCTTTTTAAATGTGCCTTGCATTTTGGACGAGTCGGCGTGAAGCGGCAACTCGGACTCTCTTGTTGTAAACACGCTAAAAAGCAAACTTGCTGTGTTCGTGCAGAGAGACTGTGTCATGCATGGGGATGGTGGGGGCCGGGGGGAGGGGGTGTCATCAATGCATCCCCAAGGCCTGCCTGCCTGCCTACCTGCTTCTTCCTCTCCCAGGAAGTTTGGCGGCATGCGGGGCACAAGACGGGGCTGATTTTGTCCGGCCCTTTCGAACAACAACAAACTCGTTAATTCTGTGCTCTGCTCATGGGGAGAATTCCAGTTGCATGTGCTCACGTCTCAGTCAAACATGGCGTGCTCACGAAGGAGAAATCTCAGTTTTGGAGGGGCGCAAAATAGCTTACAAGAGTTCGGCTGCGGCATCAGGTAGAGCAGAGGCCGCCTTGCTTACGCGTCAACAAGTGTGCCGCTGTTGTTTGCTTGCTTTGCACTCGGCAGACACAACGAGCAACTTATCGCCGCACTGCAGTCTTCAAGGAAAACGCAGCAGACATACATATATGTACACACACATACAAGCACACGTAGACGGGAGGTGAGCAATGAGGGAAAGGGTTGGAGGCTGCTTTTTTTTTTCTATGAATGAATGAGCACAAACTGACGATATTCATTTTACAGGAAATACAGGCGAGTGCATGTGCAACCCGGTAAGTTAAATCAATGTGAGTCACCCTTGCTGGAGGTGTGTGTGCGTGTGTGTCCCTGCAGCTTCCATTTCGCTTTTCTGATCACACTGGATGCAACTTTGGCTGTTACCAAACGTAAGTTTCTCGCCAATTTTGACTCACTTCACAACCTACAAGAGCGGCGTGGAGGACAAGACCAAATATCAGAATGCGACGGAACTCGTAATTGTATTCATCAGCATCATGTCGGATTCACATACTCGTTGGGTTCCTCAAACGTAGTTCTAATTCTAAAATTTGTATTTTTGGTTGCCTCCTTTTACGACGTGGAAGTCATCGCAGCAACGCACACGCGGTGTTTTAATTGTATAATAACAGCAGGGCGGATTCTGTCCAAATGAAGCGTTATTGTCCGAACATTTCAGTCGCATTACATTGTGCAGGTGTAACCGAATATTGTGACGCAGAGGTCGCCTCTGCGCCTGTGACCTGGTTTTAAAGACATTAGCGGGAGTTTAAAATGGTTAGAAATTATTCTCTGTTGTGACATCAACAAAAAAAAAACCCTCAGAGAAAAAACTCACACACACAAAAATAAAACAGCGTCTAATTTGAGTGCTTTGCACTTTTGATGGCGTTCAAGATCACAAACGTTCGTAAAGCCGGTGCCATGGGCACGCACAAGAATGTACGGCATGCACTGAAACGCAAAAGTCGGCTGAAAAGTGAAAAATAGATCAACCAAAAAAGGTGGGGACGTCTAAACAGAAGGTTCAAATGCAGCGAAAATTGGAGTGCGTGCATCGTTGTTGTTGCTCTTGTTTTTTTGTGTTTGTTTCTTTGTTAGATTTTTTTTACCTGCACGCAATAAAAAAGATGAGCAAATTCCTGCCACATTCCTCATCCCGTTGCACAAGAACTTCTCCTGGCCACATATCACGCCACACTATTGCTGAAAAACTCCACGAATTACTGGCGCACATCCAAGTCACAGAAAGTTGGGATGCAGCCCAAATATTTGGTGAAAACACTTTGGGCCTCCAAGGCGCCCGTTGCAGTGCGCGTTCATGGCCAGGAGTATAACACATGCCAATTAAAGACAAATATTCCATGACGTGGCAAACAGTTTCTTTAAATTGACAGACACGCCACG